AGAATGCATGTAAATCTGCCAGAGTTAGGCTAGCCAGAGGAGGTAGCCTCCAGCCTCCTCTCACTGCTATAAATGATAGGACACAGAGGCCATATCCCTACTATATCATTGCCTCTTCAGATGATTTGTTCTTTGCTCCTGGGTAAAATGGCTTCCTTGTTCCAGGTTCATTCTGTCACGTCCTCCTCCTCAGTTGCCCTCATTCATAGAGACTCTGGTATTTGAACTAGCCTTCCTCCCTTCACCAACTTTTGCTTTCCTAATGGTGAAAACATGTATAATGACTGGAAAGAGCATGGGCTTTGCAATCAGAACACCTAAGATTCAATTCCGGTTCCACTACTTAGTAATGAGATGTTTGGGAAATCACTTAATTTCTCTGAGTCTGTCTTTATTTGCAGAACAGGCATAGTACCTACTCCCTGGGGTGGTTTAAGGATTAAATGAGAACAGTGTCTAGGCTTTAGTAAAGGGGAAATCATATATGCTGGGCCTTCAGCAGACATTTACAAACGTGCAAAAAAAAATCTGCCTTTTCAATGAAATTCAGAATTACTTCTGCAAAAGACAAGAAAGTGAAAAGTAGCTTCAGAATATGAAAAAAAATATTTGCAAGCCTCATATCTAGCAATAAACTAGTATCTAAAATATATAAAGTCTGGGCTAGCCGGTGGGGTGGTGGTTAAGGGCACTGGACTCAAACATGGCCAACCACAATTCAAGTCCCAGAGACCTGGTAGCTTGCTTTCCTCACTTTCCCTCTCTCTCTCACTCTGTTCCTCTCTGGTCAAATTAAAATAAATAAATAGATAAATAAAATAAAGTTAAAAATAATTCTTAATATGTGTGTATACATATATATGAAAGGCTCTTCAAAACTTAACAGTACAAAAAAGTAATCCAATTAAAAAATAGGCAGAAGACATGAATGTCCATCTTAACCAGAGAGGAGACATAAGTAGCAAATGAGCTCATGAAAAGATGTTCAATATCATCATCCATTAGAAAAATGAAAACTAAGCCCACAAGGAGGTATTATTGCCACACTTTTATCAGAATGGCTAAAGTAAAAAGTAACAACAACATCAATGCCGATGATGGGATTGTAAAATGGGATAGCTGTTCAGGAAGTTTTTGATGGCAGTTTCTCCTGAAACTATAACCATATAGCAACCCTAGCAACCAGCCGTTGAACTGTTGATCATTGATTCCCACCGAAACTATATTTATCACGCAAAAGCCTGTACACTAAAGTTCACGGCAGCTTTATACATAAAAGCCCAACACTGGATACAGCCCAGATGTCCCCCTATTGGTCAAAGGTTAAACAGACTGTATACATCCATACAGTGGGATACTTCTCAGAGTAAAAAGGAATAAACTATTGATATCTGGAGCAACTTGTTTGAATTTCTAGAGAATTATACTAAGGAAAAAGAAGTAAATTCAAACAGGTTCCATATTGTCTCATTTCATTTATATGACATTCTTGAAATGACAAATTTGTTTTTAAAAAAATAGGCTAATGGACTGATAGAGGTTGATAGGAGAGTTAGAGTGGTCGAAGTTGTTAGGGTGACCTGAAGGTTCTTTCTGGTAATGAATTGTTCTGTATCTGGACTGTACCAGTGTTAATATCCTAATTGTGATATCATATTATACTGAGTCATGGGGAAAGTCATGACCCACTTTTGCATAGAAAAATATGTAGTGAGTTTCCCAATGACCTAATAGTGTTGCAAAATGTGATTTGGGGAAACTGGAAAGGTGATGGGATCTTAGTCTTATTTCTAGAACTGCATGATCTCTATCTTATTTCTAGAACTGCATGTCAGTCTATAATTATTTCAAAATAAAAATTTGACAATCTATAGACTACCGAGCAAGCAGAACAAAAAGACTAAGAAATTTTAGGAGGGAAAAGGTAAAACTAGCAAATCAATCAAGAAAATCCAACATTTAATTACTAGATGTCTCAGGAAGAGAGAGAAAAGAAACAGGATAAAAGTGAAAAATTTTCTCAGACTGAAAGGCACAGGTCTCTAGATTGATAGGTCTCACCTAACACAGTCAATTAGCAAGGCCCACTACTAGAGAGATTAGAAATTCCTAAAAGCATCCAGAGGAAAATATGCAGAGGAACAGGAATAAGTATTGGATTGGTCCATCGAAAACTAAGAATGTGAAAAAGAAAACAAAGAGGAAAAAAGAATCGATTCCAACAATGTATTCTGCATGCATTTTCAAAATACTATTTCAGGGACCAGATGGTAGCACAGCAGTAAGTAAAATGTGATGCTCTAGAAGGCATTCCCTGACTGACACGTTCCCAGTTCAAGTCCGGAGATCTCCCTGAATACTTTGGGCACTCGCTCACTTTTGCCCAGGATCAGCTTCACCTGGCTGAGGGCTGGAGGTGGATTATGTTGTGGAGACCCTGTTAGAGATGCTCTCTTTCTGTCTCTGGCTTGTGGGAGAAATAAATACACTTAAAAAAAAAAAATTACTGTTTGACTAAGTGCTTCGGCAAGAAGCGGAAATTACCCAAGATGCCGTGGGATACAAGAAACAAGAAATCCAGCAAAGGAGAGAAGTGATGTGAACATCTAAAGAAGGCAAAGGGAGTTCCAGGACAGGGGTAGAGAAGGGCAGCTCGGGAGAGACCGGCTGGACAGAGGACTTTAGGAAGCTGATCTGTAGGAATTGTTTAAGGGGAAGGAATAAGAGATGAGTGTATTTTCAGAGTTTTTAGTATTTAAAAATTAACAGTGATAAGGATGTGACAGCTCTAATTAAGATGGCTGTGGGTACATAGGAAAAATAGCAAAAGGAACAAAGAATGTAGACGTCAGCTTTAGGAGAAACAGAAGAGCTCAGCCACAGAAAAGTATTTGCACAGTTGTAACAATGACTGTCTTCATAACTGACTAATCAAAAATGGTGATATGACTGGAAATAGAGAGTTGCGAGTTAGAAATGAGTTAAATTTATGGTACTAGGATGTCAATCCTTAATATCTAAAATTAATCATAAACTTATAACCATATTCTTTAGGAAAATAGCATTAAAAACCAAAAGATAAGACTGGAAGAGTTGACAGTGATTTCTCTTGACGTAAGTGAAGAGTCAAGATAGATGAGGCAAGAGACTGCTGTGTTCAATCTTTTTATTTTGTTTGTTTTTGAAGGATTATTTATTTTCTTTTTTATTTTATTTGCTATAGGGCATGTATGCTCACCAGAGAGAGAGACAGAGAGAAAGAGAGAGGGACACAATGAGAAAGCAAGCTGCCAGGTCTAGGACTCAAACTACCATTGGCCATGTGGAAGTCCAGCACCTTAACCACCATACCACCTGCTGGCCACTTGGTTTTTGTTTTTAAACTATTTGAATTCATCTCATTTAAAATATTTTTCTTCAAAGTGCAAAGCACAGTCCATAGCAGAGGGTAAATATCTTAGTCTGTCAGGTGAAGTCTAATGAATAGTTTGTTTCTGGTTGGTAAATAGCCAGACATAGTTTACTAATATCATTGTCTATCCCCACCTGAGTAGTGGATCTGACCTGCCAAGGATCATCACTGTCTGTGAGCTTGAGAAATGTTACTGTCCAAGCAGATACAAATTCTGTAAACGTAGAGGCTATTTATTTCCAATGTTAGTACTATAGAGGCCAGAGAACATGAGAGTACCAGGAAATGTGACCTTTCAACATAAGCCTCTTGCCTTCCTGTAGCATCTTATGGTAAAAGCCCACCTTGGGGGGCCAGCAGTTGGCATAGTGGTTATGGCTTTGTACACTCCCACATGGCTGACCGCAGTTCGAGTTCTGGATCTGGCAGCATGAAAGTCACACTGGGCAAAATCCCAGCAGGAGAACAGAGGAGATGGGATTCCAATGTGGCCATCCTCCTCAAGGGGTGATTTCTCACTTTCACTCTCACTGTCTCTCTCTGTCTCTCTCGTGAGTGAGCACATGCGCCGTATGACAAAAACCTTAAAAAAGAAAAACCCCACCTTGGGCACGTTATCTAACACATGAGCCCTTATTTCTGCATCCAGAACATGAGAATAACCTTGTATGTTTTTTCAGAGGATGGAATCAAGTACATGCCATGTGTCTAAAGAATGCTGAGTACGCTGAGGTCCTTAGTATTATTGTTCTTGAAATCCTAAGCAGCGTAGTAGTAACATTAGTGTCATTTATTATGATTGTAGGCTTGTACTAGTTAATTTGTCATAATCTCTCTCTCATTTTCCCAGTTCTTGACGTCTCCAATTAGTTTTTATGCACAGTACTGCCGGAGACCATGGCACACAGTGAGTGCTAACTCCTGTTGAACAGTATCACCAACTAAATCCGTATTAAAAGTCCTAGGAAAACTAAGGCAATGTGGTAGAGTGGGTAGCGTAAGGAGGGGAAGCTTCAACTGTGCCGTGATGTCTGTGATTTTCATGTTATTGCTGAACTTGTTCTTAGGCAAAATTGAGGTTGTCAGTGTGGAAGGGACAGGTTCTTGGACATAGCTCCAGAGCAGGACTTTTTGTGTTGTTCCTGGGGGCAGAGCCAGAAAGTATAATATTCTTGTATTTTTACCTTTTTTTTTTTTTAATAACGTCAACCATCAAAAAGGTTATAATTTGTTGTAATGATGTTATAATTAAGTTGTGGTAAATGATAGCATTTGTAGATTTTATAACCAGAATTGATTCATAAAATGAATACAGTCCCAGCAGTTTATGTTAACATAATTAAATGGAAATGTAATTCTAACTCAGTTTGCTTATTAAATTGAAAATTACTGGGTTATACGCACTTACATTTCTGTCAAAATTGGTGTAAGTCTTGAATCACACAAATATCCATTAAAATAAAGCATATTTAAGGCTCCGCTGCTGGTGGCAAATACATTTCTTAGCGTACACGCAGATGGATCATGCTAGTGTGTGTGCTTTTAGTTAGTGAGGTTCCTGCTAACTCCTTTTCTTTTTCTTCTGCAGCCATTGGTGTAGCCCTGGGGCTAGACCAGAGCATGGCCAGGTAAGGAACACTCTCATCCAAAAGGAAGTGCCTTAGTCTCTTTCAAATATTTAAGGATCTGATCTCCCTTCAAGGTAGTAGATCAGCTTTATGAGAAAGGATGCAAGTCCCAAGCTTATTTTAAAGGCCAGGGCTTAATGCAATGACCACATGAACGATCCTCCATAAGCATAGAGCTTTCTCCTCCTGCCCTCCTCCGCTCACATCGTGACCTCCTTGGGAAGGTTCTGGAACTCACTCCTCGGTAGGACTTCACTATTTGTATTTGTCTCTCAAAAAGTTAAGGCACTGAAACAAAACATATGCTTAAACATTTAATTTGCATTAAACGTAAGATCAGCCAACAAGAGAATATTTTTGTCTTTAAAGTGTAGGACGTGGCAATAATTTCTTATGAGGTTACATGATATCTCTACATTAATTTCTTCAATCTCTTATTGCTATACATGGCAGCACAATGATTAGTTGACTTAACAGGAACCTGACATTCACTTCAGTTATTTTTACTTATAAATAGTCTACTTTCTTTGTCATTTGAATGTATTATTTGTCTCTCTGAAGCTGCAAAGGTAATTTTGAGCTCAAATTTGTGATAAGCTTTTAAGAGTGTACATTTTAAGGCTTGCATCCTCTCAAGTTTTTTTGTTGTTGTTGTTGTTACAAAGGATCATTATTTTTTAAGTGTATCAAAAATATGATATTTAAGAAAATACATCTTTAAAATGCATGGCAATGATAAACCCCATATTTTTGGAGATCATTTCTTTGAGGGCTAGGAAGATAAAAAGAGAGTTGTGCTTGGGGATGGTAATTCTAACATTACTCTGTTGATGGTTGCTTTGGTAAGTGGGGCAACAGGTCCACAGTTGGTTGATACAGCATAGTTCCTCTTTACTTATAAAGCAAAGGTGTTGAGTATGAGCCTCGTAAAAGAAAAATATCTTTTGAATTTAGTTGAAACAAATTTTTATTGCTTTTTTCCATGTGAGTGATATAAAGAGACTTCTCCCATTAATAATAGAATATGTGCCACTGTTTTTATGGTTTTAGAAATTAACTAAATAGGCTAAATTACATCTATGATGTGTTTATCTTATTTATGATTCAGAATGCAAAAATTAGATTTTATGCTTTCGCAAATGGTTTATATTCTTCTTACAGTAAGATTCTGCTCCTAGTGTTAAATTGCATTGGGATGTATTTTATCCCAAAATATAATCTTTTAAAACTAATGCTCTACCCTTAGGAATTAGAGAAATACTGAAGTAATGTTATAAACTTGTGTTTTGGAATGTGGTCTATCAGGTAGTTTCTAACCAAGCTTTATTCTGTAGTTCAAAATTAACTAATAGCTAATAATTTATAAGGAAGAAAGTTAACTATACTTTTAAATTTTTGTAATCATTTTGATCAACATTCAAATCAGTCTTTTGCTTAAACCTTGATATATCATTTCAAATTTTTGTCTTTACTCAATAGGTTATTAAAATAGGGTCAATTCTTATTACTTCTGATAGTCACATCCTGCAAAGTCAACTCAAACACTAAATCGCTGAATACTGAACCAATGCTTCAAGGGAAATACAGGGTTAGGATAAGGGAAATACAGGGTTAGGTTCCTTCAAGCTTCTGTTTACAGTGTCCTCATCAACTGATTAACACATAGCCTTGTTTTATGTGTATTTCTGTTTAAAGATAACTTATTTCATATAGAAAGATAGATATTCTCATTGCTTCATTGACATTGACTTCATGGCCAACAGCACTATATAATTTCTGCCTGAACAAAGTTCATCTGACTTGTGTCTCCTTCAGGAGACCTGTCATAGCATTCCTGTGCTCAGCACACTAGACATCACTTGAGCACTATGCTTGCCTGCCTTCTTAAACAGTGAAATTAGGAGAAAAACAAACAAACAAACAAACACAAAAATGCAAAACAAAAATAGAAGGTCCCTAGACAGACCACGAGAAATTGACCACTTTGCACCTCTCTGCAAATGACTGCAAGAGCCGCAAGAGTATAGATCTGGGTATTACAAATAAATTTTAGCAGGCAAATTCAAAATATGGAATCAGCAAATAAAGAGAATCAACTATACACACACCATTTATGCTTTGAGGGATAAAGATTTCCTAGGTGAATTTAGGCCTAACTATAACCCAGAGAATGAATGGTAAAACCTACATGCAAATGATGAAGTACAGTACCATAAAGAAGAATACTACCCTTCATCATATCGTTGAATGAATGACTACTAGCTTGCATGATCACCTTTTATTTTTTTATGACAGCTTTGCAACATAAAGACATGATAATAATAACTCTGTATCTTTTTAAAAAAACATCCCTCACTACTTTCCCCTATCTTATGAGTTTTCTTGCCTTTCTTTAGTGCTAAATCCCATTATCTTTTTACACCATGCATAGCGATCATAGCGTCATTACACATTGATTAAATAATTTAGCTATCAGTTATTATTTTAGGATGCATTCTATTTTTACCAAAAAGAAGATTTTGTAAAAATAAAACAAAACAAAAACAAACAAACATAAACTTTTCCCTGAAGTAGTTGTAGTCTGGGGCAGAGTCTGGGGCAGTAATTGCATTATATACATTATGTTATTAAATGTTTGAGAAAACCATAGAGAGGGACACTATAAAGGCTGTAAAAGAGAATGTCAGAGGGGCAACTATATGATTTTTCTTTTTTACTTTTTAAATTTGAGGCATTGCATTCCTGAATTCTTGATAATTTAACTAAGTTTACAAGTATCTTAAGAAGTCATAGATTATAGTTTAGATATTACTTAGTTCACCTTTTAATGTTGAGGACATTGAAAGGTTGAATGTGAAGAGATTTTTTTAGAGGTTTTCGCAATAGGGCGCATGCGCTCTCCAGAAAGACAGAGAGAGAGAGAGAAAGAGACAGACAGAAAGTGAGAAATCACCCCCCAGGGGGGACGGTCACGCCACAATCCCTTCTCCTCTAGTCTCCTCTTGGGATCTTGGGTACGCACACGCACACACACACACACACACACACACACACACGATTGGTGTGAGTTTAAACCACCAGGTCCCAGACTCAAACCACAGGCAACAACATGGGAGTTCAGCGACATAGCCATTATGCTAACTGCTGGTCCCAATGTGAAGAGATTTTGAAATCACTTCACAGACATTTAAAGAGTTACCTGACAAGTAGCTGCCAATAGAAACGCTCCTGAGCTTGAATGCCTTATGCACATCAGGATTCTATGAAAAAGAATTCTGTTCTTTTCTTCGTCCTTGTGTTATGGCTTTGAGACCTTTAATAATCTCGTAAAAGTAATATGAATAGTCACAGAAATTCTGAGCTTGCTTTCCTTAACGGTAAAAAATCATTATCCACAAGGAACACTTCTCCTCTTCCTGATGTAATTCAGCAATTAAAAAAAAAAAATGTGTACGTAGGTTTTATGTTTATGGATTCTAATGTAATTCTTACATGAGTCATTTTTTAATATACATCTGCAGGTCACTAATAAGGGAATTGTACCTCCGTTTGGCCTAAGTCCAGCAATCTGAAAGTTGGAAGGTAAGAAGCACTTCGCACCATATTCAGAAGTTCTATTTTTAATCAGAGTTGACATTATCGAGTCAGAGCCCTGAAAAGTGACCTCACTTGTGACACTGATAGGAGTCCTAAAAAAAGAATTATCAATAGCAAGAATGAAGAATTTTTCAAAATTTGACGGGCTACTCTTACTTACTAGAGCAGTGATCAAAGATTCTTGTTATTTTTATTGGGAATCTTTTAAATACAAATATATATCTTCTGTTTTTCTAGTAACATCCCAGACTAATTTTTTTCATCTTTGCCCTTTAAAAGATCTAGGTCTATTAACTTGTTAGATTCATGACCCAGAAATCTGAGTTTCTTTTTTTTTTTAATTGCCAGAGGATGTGTATACTTGAAAGAGAGAGAGCACTCCTATGGGGGCATGGCCATGCCATAATCCTTTTTCCTCCATTTCTGCATCCTATCAGGGTTGTGAACTTGTACCAGTCGTGTTTCTTTAACCTCCAGATTTAGGACTTGAACTGTACATTTGACCATGTGGGATCCAACTGCCATAACCACGATGCCATCAACTGGCCTGAGTATTATTTCAACATAAACCTCAAGAACGGTGTTCTTTTATGTCTTTATCGTAAAATAGGCAAGTTAATTAACTACTATGATTAAGACGGAGGTAGAGACTGATCATCTTACCTCTAGCTATCTGTGTCACAAATGTTGGTTTGTATACAATTTTTTAAAAGGCACTAGACCTAGAAATACCAAAGTAATTCAATTTTTTTTTTAATTTTCTGAAACAATTTAGTGTTCATGGTACGAAGTGTTTCCAAATTGAAACACTTTCAGATTAATGGACTTAAGATAAATGGTTGCTATTTTCTGTAAGTAGTAATTAATAATGAAATAAAACTCCAGCTACATATCAGATACTCTCTATTTCTTTATCTCATTCATTCATTCATTTATTCTTTCATTTGTTCATTCATTCAATAAATACTTACTGTACATTGAAAACATTCCAGTGCTGAACTCAGCAAAGGCAGACAAGTTGAATAACTGAAGCAAAGGGCCAGAGATGAGTAAAAGCAAGCTACACATCCCAAACTAAAAAGTCCCATATAGCTTGGATATATAATTTAGAAGTAAGGAATTTAGTTCAGGATTAGGAGATACCATAATAAATGATGAGGTTAGAGATGTAACCAGATTATGAAGGGCCATGAAAGCCTTGCGCAAAGTTTTGGGTGTTCTCTGTACTCTAAGAGAGTAAAACAATCAGATTACTTTTAGCAAGTTCCTGCTGGTTGCAGTGTGGAGAATGGATTAGAAGGGAGCAAGACTGGAGTTAGGGATGCCATTTGGGAGGTTTTTGCAGGTGAGGAAAAATGATGGTCTGATCTGGGATGATGGGAGTGGGGATGGAAAGAAATAGACAGTTAAGAGAAATTTGAAATATACTTACTCATTTGAAACATTCTAAGAAAATGATCTCACCATGTTCTCCATCATCTAATTAAGATCTGTTCTTCTCAAAGATGGGTCAGATAAACTAATAATTGCTTCCAAATGATGTCATTGGACAGTTCTAAGCAGTTCTCTCTCACTAAAAATTATTGATACAGGTTAGCTAATATCCATCTTGAGCCAGACTCGTAAACTATAATCATAATTGTAGCATTTGAGCCACTTTTTCAGTATTTCCTACATTCCAGTCTCTAGTGCTGAGTGTTTCATATGGTTGGTTTATCTTACTTAATACTCACAACTGCTTTACAGATGTTGTCATCTCCATTTTATAAACGGATGCTGGTTTATAGAGGAGTGAAGTATAAGAGAGTCTGTATAAGACTGTGCAGTTTGTAAGAGGCAAAGCTGTCACTGGGACCTAGTGACTTCTTAGTTACTGGCTCCGCTAGCATTAGAACCCAGACCTATCCTGCATTATTACTGCTAAGACTTTTATTTTTGTTAGAGTAAATTTCGAATATGTTATACAACTTCTCTTTAACCCAGTCTTGCATATAATCATGTTTCTGCGTAAATAAGATAAGCCGCAGTCTGAGTGAACACAGTCAGGAGTATTGACTATTTGTTTTTCTTCTTTCCAATTAGTTAGGGGAAGGCAAGTGTGAAGGGAAGTGAATGGGAAGGCATTTTGAGGAGGCAAACAAATATATATTTTTTTCTAATTATGTATTTCCAAGCCAATAATTTCTTTGAAGAAGAGTGTTTTAAGTATATTCCTTTACCATGTTAGGCCTACAGGTAACAGAGAAAATACTATCAGCTCATTTTTTGTGAACATAAATGACTGGAGGGCCTCAAAAAATTCACAGCTATATATAATTATATATAATGACAGAGGTTATTATTGATAAGAGAGGTTTCATTACTTTGACAAGGGCTACTGCAGAGAATCAGGAACAAAACTGAGTTTTAGACTTCCACCTCTCTCTGTTTGTTACTGGACTCTGAGAACAGCTTAGCCGCCAAGGAAGCACTAGATTGGCACTCTTATTAGTATTGTTGCAACAGAGACAATGACATTTCTAGCAAAGGTTATAGTGTTTGCTTTAAGAGAAACTTGTCAGAAAAAAAAGTAATTTAATGCAAGTTAAGAATAGTGTCCATGTGAATGAGAAGGATGTGTTTGCTTGCAAAATATTGTCATGAAAATATTTTGTTTCTACAACTTTGTCTTAACACTTTGTATAGCATCAGCTTCTGAGAGATAATCGAGCTGAAAGAGGACACAAGAAAAATTGTTCTGTGAAAACAGCCAGCAGGTAAGATATTCAGAATCAATTTACATTCTCATTTTTAAATCACCTGTCTTTTTTTCCTCTTTCTATGCCAATATGAGTGTGGTGAATTGTAGTTTCAGTTGCCATTGCTTCTAAAACGGCAAGTTTAAAATATGCTATGTATTGTTTATTAGAATCTACTTCAGGATTACTAGTAATGAATACAAAGATATCATTTTCTTTTTTCCTTTTTTTTTTTTTTTTTTAAGAGGTTTTTGCCTTGGAGCATATGTGCTTGCTGGACAGAGAGACAAAGATAGTGAGAGGTCAAGTGAGAAATTACCCCCCAGGGGCAATGGCCATGCCACTATCCCTTCTCCTCCATTCTCCCCCGGGATATTGGGCATGCTCATACATGGGCCCAGCGTGATTTTCTTTTGTTCTTTTTTCTTCTCCTTTTTCTTTTTCTTTTTTTTTTTTTTTTAATTTTTGCCTTAGAGTGTGTCTAATCACAAAGCGGGTGTGTGGGAGGGAGAAGAAAGAGAGAAACAGTGAGAAGAAGAGTGAGAAATCACTCCCCAGTGAGGATGGCTATGCCTCAATCCCTTCCATTCTCTCCTTGGATCTTGGGCACACATATACATGCACCCAGAGTGAAGTTTCAAGCCACTGGGTCCAGGACTTGAACTGCCAGTCATGTGAGAGTCCAGCAACATAACCGCTACACTCTCTGCTGGCTCTGGTACCATTTTCTTTTTCCTTTATTTTTTTTTCTTTTTTCTTTTTTTTAACAGATTTTACTATAGGGCATATGCACTTGCCAGAAGGACAGAGACAAAAGTGAGAAATCACCCCCCCAGGGCAGATGGCCATGCCACAGTCCCTTCTCCTCCATTCTCTACTTGGGTTCTTGGGCAAAACACACAAGCACCAGCGTGCATTTAAGTCACTAGGTCCAGGACTCAAACCACAGTTGACTACATGGGAGTCTAGTGACATAACCATTATGCCATCTGCTGGTTCCCCCCATACCATTTTCTTTATAATTAGTTAAAGCTGGTTAAAAATAAATATATAATGAACTATGAAAAGAAAAAAATAATTTCTGTCTCCCATAATTAACATAATATACTTTAGATCAGTATTTATGATAATTACTTTACTTTGTTAATTTAAACAGTAGAATTAATCTTTTTTTTCTCAAATTTAAATGATCCATAGACTTTATTAGACAGGGAAGAAAATAATCTTTTTTCTTTTTTGGTCTTTGCCTTAGGACACATGTCCTCAACAGAGAGAGACAGAGGGAAAGTGAGAAATCACCATCTAGAGTGTATAACCACACTGCTGTTGCTTTTCCTCCATTCTCTTTTCAGGATTTGTGGTACACACACATGCACAGAAAGCATGTTTTTTAGGCTGTCAGGTCTCGCACTCAAACCTGTGGAGTCAGCCATGTGGAATTCAGTGCCTTAACACCATGCTACTTGCTGGCCCCAAAAGTAACTTTTTTTAAGATGTGTTTTTAGGGTCGTATATATTTTATCTTGGTAAGTTGATTTTTTTTCTTAATACAAAGAATTTGTCCTCCTTTATTGTTTTAGACAATATACTTTCAAATTTTGCATGTGGTATTGTTGAAGATTTTATTTTAATGAGATTAAAATGGCTACTCTTCTTGGGAGAATATTGAACATAACTACTGCTATGAGATTTACACTTAATTTGATTTCAACAAGATGAGATCACAGACCTCAGCAGCCCCCACTGCATTCCACAGTTTCTCAGTGTTAATGTGCTAGCTACTGAATTTAACATTCCAGAGCAAACCATAGATCTTTAAAGTATCATCTTGCACAAACTAGTCCTGACTGAGAACCTAGTAGGTATCTGCAGATGCAAATGCAAATCCTATCTAGCCTAATCTAGACCATCAAAAGTTGCTGAACATAAAATTAGATAATTCTACATCAATAATAATCAATATGAATGATTAAAGATGTAGCAACAATCTAAGATTACAAACTAATTTAACAAACTAAGATTTACCTCTAAGAATGTCAGCTTCATAAATGATCAAATATAAATTATAAAATAACTATGGCTGAAATGTTTACAGGAAAAAAATGAGTAAACAACAGCAAATCACTGTTCCAAATAATCACACAAAAATTTTTAAAGTATAAATGTTAGAAATAAAAATATATGATTGTTATGATTATTAAAGAGATAATTAGTGAAATGGATGTTATAGCTGAGGAATTATTCCAGAATATAGCATAAAAATTCAAGGAGACAGAAGAATAAAATAATGGTTAAGAGATATAGAGCAGATCTAAGATATATATAATTATAATCATTCATGGAAAGAATAGAAGAGCTGAAGGGAAAATGGTATTTGAAGAGACATTGGCTAAGAATTCCCCAAACTGGTTAAAGTTATAAATCCATTAGACATGAAAAGCACAGTGAATACCAAGTACCATAAATAAAAAGAAATCCACATCCAGGACCAGCAGTTAGCATAATGGCTATGTCGCTGGACTCTCACGTAGTCGACCGTGGTTTGCGTCCCGAACCCAGTGGCTTAAAACTCACACCGGGCACGTGTGCATGCGTGCCCAAGATTCTGAGAGGAGAATGGTGGAGAAGGGATTGCGGCATGGCCATCCCCCCTGGGGGGTGATTTCTCGCTTTCTTTCTCTGTCTCTCACTGTCTGTCTGGCGAGCGCACACGCCCTATAGCAAAAACGTCCAAAAAAAGGCCAAAAAAAAAAATCCACATCTAATAGTATACTGTAGTATATCAAAGTCAAAGACAAGATCTTAAAGTAGGAGAAAGGACAAATTATCTACTAAGGAATGGCAACTATACATGAGATTTCTCAGTTGTAGCAGTGAGACCAAAAGACAGTGGAAGAATACTGAATAAAAACACATTGTCGGGACCAACAAGTGGCGTGGTGGTTAAAGGCGCTAGACTGTCTTATGGCCAACTGCAGTTCAAGTGCCAGACCTGGTGGCTTGCTTTCTTACTTTCTCTCTCTCTCTCTCTCTCTCTCTCTCTCTCTCTCTCTCCCTCCCCGTTCCCCCCTCCCTCCCCCTTTCTCTGTCGCTGTCCTTCTCTGGTCAAACTTTTAAAATTAAATAAATAAATAAAGTCAAATAAACAATTCTTTAAATATATATATGTGTATGTATATACATACACACACACACACACACACACACATATATATATATATAGTCGCCCTAGAATAATAATGCAACTGGAAGACCGTTTTTGTCAAGCTGACATAAAGTTATTTTAAGATTTTAAGCTGAGGAAATTTATTATCAGTAGACCTTTGCTGGAAGACTGTTTAAGGAATGTATTTCAAGAAAATAATCTGAAATGACTACTGAATCACTGTGCTCTACAGGTTGGGATCACAGGAAGCATAAGTTCAATTCCCAGGAAGCATAAGTTCAATTCCCAGTCAAACCTAAAGGCCAAATAGGTGGCATGGTTCTATAATCCCAGCAATTCAGGAGGCTGAGGCAGGAGGATCATGAGTCAGAGGCTGGCCTAGGCAACATAACAAGACTCTGTTTGAAAGAGCCAGGTGTGGTAGTGCACGGCTATTTGGGAGACTGAAAGAAAGAAAAAATAAACATTATCTCCCAAGAAACATCTGAATTGCAAGAATGAATACTAAACCAATGAATTCCTAAGGACATTTAAATAAACAGCCATTGCTTATATGAAATGATAACATTTATTTTGTAGGATTTTTGAAAGGATGATCTAAAATAGTGGACAACAATATCCTGTTAAGTTGGTAGTGTTTAGGGAAGACCATCTTTAAGAATATTATGTCTCCTGGGCCAGCCAGTGGCAGTGTGGTTACAGTAGCTAGATCCCACTTAGCTAACTGCATGGTCAGAAAATAAAATATTTTGGTTTTGTTTTTGTTTTGCTGTAGGATACATGCACTCGCTTGAGAGAGACAGAGAGAGAAAAAGAAAGTGAGAAAGCACCCCCTGGGAGGTGATGACCATGCTGCAATTCCTTCTCCACTCTCCTCTAGGGATTTTTGGACATGTAAATGCACCCACCATATTTTTCAAGTATACTTGAACTGCATAGTCAGCCATGTGGGACCAGCTCCCTTAACCACCATACCACCTAGCTGGCCCAGGTGACATAACATGCTTAAGATCATTCTTCCTTAAATTGTCCACAGATTCATGCTGTCTGAATCAAAATCCCAATAGACTGTTTCGTAGAAATAGACAAGGTAATTCTAAATTTCATAAGAAAATTAATCAGTCTTATTATAGCCAAAACAACTTTGAAAAAGAAAACTAATCTTGGAAGGCTAATGTTAACTGAATCCAAGATTTATTATAAAGCTATTATACAGTAAAAAAGGGTAGGGCTAAAAGCTAAAGTAGTCAAGACAATCGATATTTACATTAAGATAGAAAAACAAATCATTGAAACAGAAAAGAAAATAATAAAATACACCCAGACATATACAGACAACTGATTTTTGCCAAGGTACAAAGGCAATTCAGTGGAATTTAAGTCTTTCAACAAGTGGTACTAGGACATTTGGATATCCATTTGCAAAAAGAAAAAAAGATTCTGACCCACACCTCATACCCATACCGCATTACATGATGGATAATTTTATGTGTCAACTTGATTGGACTAACAGATGCCCAGATAGCTACTATTTCAGGATGTGTCTGTGAAGGTGTTTCTGAAAGAGATTAACAGTTGAATTAGACTGAGTAAAGAAGACTCCTCACCAATGCAGGTGACCATTATTCAATCCCTTAAGGGCCTGAATAGCACAAAAATGTATAGAAAGGGCAAATTTGTTCTTTCTTCTTTAGCTGGGAAATCCATCTTTTTCTGGCTTCTGGCTTTGGCTCAGCCTCCTGGTTCTCTGGCCTTTGAATGCCCAGAAGTTTCAAGGCCTTCATTTAACTGTTTCCACTGCGTAGTGCAATTCCTGTCACGATTTTGACAGCATTGCCCCAAATGTCTCGTG